TATGTTATTTTAAACTTTTGGACACCTTTGGCCCCGGAAAATCGATAGATAATAATAATATGTTACCACTTGTACCGACGGTTTTTAAATTTCGGTGAGTCGAGAGTTACACACGTGCCACTTTCGCTCCAATCGTGAACTTTGACTCCAGTCTAAGTATAATATTCAGTCGCGTATAATGAATATTATTGTTTAAGATTGAATATTACAAAAAAAACAATGCCCATCTCGAGAAACCGATAATATTTATAAGATTTTACTTTTTATCCGCCACTGGAATAATACGGTTTAGGAGGGTTGTATATATTATTGCTTTAAATAAGTTTACTGTTTAAATTTATTTTTACCTTTGAAGTACAATTCATGCAAATCAGCGCAGGTTATGTTTATTTTATACCTACTGAAAATGAATTTCCGATACCTAATTTATAGTTCAACACTTTGATCGTATCTGACGAGTAATGATAAAATCGCGCAAGAACATGAAACATATTAAATATAAAGGTACGTGTGTATTGACAATTTTTATAGCATTTTGTTTTGCATTAATTGAGAGTTAGACAGATAAAATATTTGTCATAATACAATAGTCTAATTAATATTTACTGTAACTGCACAATATACAGTTATAGGTAAGTAGGTAACATAATTAAGTTTGAATTTCGTTCACATTTAAATTGCACCTCACGTGGTAGGTGTATTTTAATTTATTTCAAACTATGATTGGGTATACTAATATATATATTCGCAAATTAGTCTTATTTATTGTTTGCGAAAAACAAAATTTAATGTTCTCTGATTTGTATTGATTGAGAAATAAGAGTATTTTTTCGACAGTCCCAGCTTTTGTTCTTTTTATCATCTTCCAATTTATCTTTGTGAGAGTCCAATTAACCCCGATTGTTAAAACAAACCATCGAAGTATACAATCGAACTTCCTCTTTACAATCATTTTAATTTGACACCGGTGAAACGTAAAATGAAACTACGAAACTGGATATTATTGAAATAAATTATTTTTATAATTTATAACATTTGGCGATGTACAAAACTGAAATGTTTTATGTTTTGTATTATTGTTGTATTTTCTCAAAACAATACAAATGCGTCGTGTATTATATGTGTTGTATTCGCGATTTCGAATGTATTTGCTACATTTAATTAATGTTAAATAATGCTATAAAGGTATATTATTATTGTATTTTTAATTAATTATTATATTATTTCATATTGTTACATTATTTGATAAATAATTAGGTAAAATATTATTTTAACGTCATCAAAATGAATAATAATTGTGTTACTATGATTAAAGGCAAACGTTTGTTTACATAAATACAATTAGGTACATAAAAGAAAATTTATAATGAACATATTATTATTATATTATTACCTATGTACCGTTTTTGTTTTCTCCTATAAACGATTACATTCGAGCTTAATTGCGTTAATAAAGGTTATCTGATAAAATAGCTAGGAATATCATTATGTGTCGTTGATCTCCAAGGAACATTTTCCGGAAAAAACTTCATTGTGCGTAGGTTGTTTTTGAACTTTTTTCTCTGGCCGTCGTCGGGGGACGGTTGATTCGAAATAACTATAAAATAATGGAACATATTGGAGTAAAACACGGCACGTACTTACAGAACACATTCTGACATCCCGAAAGTAGGCACGTATAGAACATAATATAGGTAAATACTATTTTATATTGTGTGTGCGTGTAAGTGTGTGTGAGTGCGCGTGCTTATAATATTGCTACAATGTGGTACGTCTATTTATTTTACCCATATCGACAGGGTCCGCGATGTGTACCTGCTTCGGTTGTTTTTATATCAATAATAATTGGCAGAAAAGAAAGGAAGAATGAAAGGAAACCACAAAAAAATAATCCGTCGAAACATCCCTCTGTCGACTTAGGCTCTTTCCGCTCCACGGAATTTTTTCCACTCGCACACGCTGCACGCATCAAATCATATAGGTACCTATACATTATGTACACATACACACACACATATATACATACCTCCATACATGCATATATATATGTATAAATATAATATACCGGTCACGGAACAAATAATATCCTGACATTTGTGTTGTCGGCTAGAGCAAATAAAAAGTTAGTTTTAGGAAAACAACACGCGTGTATGTATATGCACTTGGGTATTATGGGTATTAGGTATATTATATGTATTATACCGCTGTAATGTCCTGTCATGGAATCCGAGACGTTTAAGGTTTGTTTTTAAATCAAATTTCACGAAAACGTTACCGAGTTTCTCTCGTCTTGGTTAGTCGTAGTGAGTTATAACTTATATATTAATGTAATAATATATTATTATAAGTCCGCTGCTGGATGAGACGACCTTGCGACTTCTCAATCATTCGCCAGCCACATGCGACTTATCGCCGAGAGGTCCAAAAGCCACCCTACAAATATTAATTGATAGAACAATAGTTTTATTATTGACAGGCCAAAGTCTTGTGTCGCCTATCACACGCCATCGCATAGTCTGACCAGATGCGGTCAATGTGCCAAACCGATGTGGGTACGGAGGAAAAAACCAACTATTTTATTCATTAAATTTATTGCTATTTCATATTATTGCTATTGCTTCGTTTTATAGTCAATATAAAACCGATTGCAATGTCCAAACGCACTCGTTCGTATTATATCTGTGATCGTGTACCTATTTCATTGTGTTACTGATTATAATTTCGGAGCATGTGATGCGAAAAAAAAATTGTGATGCGACCATGCCGGTTATGCCACTCGGCCACCGTGGGGTGAATTCTGTCACATGAGTGCACTCGTTTGATTATTGCAAAAAAAAATACTAAATAATCATAATCATGCTGCTGTTGTACATTAATTATATTAACGTAGGTATATAATATTATAATAGTTGAAAATATAATGATATTGGTTTAACACGGTTTTTGGAAATCCGGTTTTCCAGTATTTTTTTAAGTATATAATATATAGGAAAGTTCTCTTCAAAGAAAAAAAACCGTTTAAGTTCTCAGCACTTCCATATTATGCACTCGCTTACTACCATCCCCCCTACCATATTCCTTATATTCCTAACACAACACTGCAGGAACCACTGATGAAAACAGTGAATCGCTTACGACGTACATATTATTATTGTCATGCGGACGCAAACCCAAATTAAACGCGAATCGAATGACATTGGGAATCTATATTATTATGTACACCGATTTCCCCGTATAATACGCTTTTCCGGATATCAAGTCTCGGAATAAATGATTATGTACATTATAATATTATTTTTTGCATGATTTTTGGTATCGTCGGTGGAAAATAATATTATATACCCCTTAACTCCTACCCTCGTTGTTATTATAATGTGTTCTGAGCTATTGTCGTTAATCATCCATGAATAATGATCATGTGTAACCATTTAAGTAAAAAAAAAAAATTAAAGAACGAAGAAGAAGAAGGAGAAGAAGAAGAAGAAGAATAAGAATATGAGATATACCTACTACAGAATATGGTGCTCTGTAACTTTAATCGTATACGCGAGTATTTTTCGTTTTTTTTTCAGGTGTATTTTATTATAATGATACTGAAAAAATTCAGGCGTTTTTAAGAAATTTATCACCATATTTCCGTGGCGTTTGTACCACATTATACTCACAGTAAACGTATAAATACGAACAATAGTTTAAATTGATAATTTATGAATCCGACATTTTCCACTGCGGTTTAAAAATAATATTCTTTATGTGTATATTATATTGTATATGTAATACACGCGTAAGCAAAATGAAAATTGAGCTCTTTATGAATGCCCTGGGAACTTAACAATTTGTGTGACTTGTGCGTTGATAATAAATGTATAAAGCAAATTATATTTTTATATTACTCTATTGTCGTTGTTTAAACAACAATATGAAAATGTTGCCTCGCCTACCTGGCTACATTAAATTCGTATACGCTCGCTCGTCGATGAAATTACTTTTGATTCGATTAATCGACGTTACCTATATTATATTATGTTATAAAATGTTGATTTATGTCGATTGCGAGGAGAACGCGTGTTTTTAAATTGTCCGCTCCTAAAATATGTACATTGTATAATATGTACATTGTTATATATGTATACACGACTTGATATTTACAAGTGAGAGGTGATGACTTAAACAAATATACAATACGTCGAATAACAATTTATGCCATTATAACAAATCAATGTGTTTGAATAAATTTATTGTACCTACAAAATATATGAGCACAGGCACCAGCCATATATAAAATCATTTATTATTTATAGCGGAAACTCGATTATAATTGAATAGCGTTTTTCGGAGACGAGATAGACGTTTGGAAAAATTACTGTCTGGGTCATACCACCACGTGGTATTACCTACAGTCATGACGACAGGCGTTTTTTGCCAATAATCGCTAAAGTATATTATTTATACTTAGCGACGTATTATAGTATATAGGTACCATACTGAGCACAACTAATAAGACCATTTTCCAAATCTGTTTTGACATATTAGTACAGTTATAGTGTTGTGTTTTGATTTGTTTTTGCAACGGAGATCGTTAGAACATTAATATTATTATGATCTTTAATTGACATTGAATGTCGACTCTGAATCCGGAACACAGCGATGCCTCGGTTATGTAACTTATGGCCTGCGACAATCGTTTAATGTGTTTGTTTTTCTTATCAATTTATCGGGCGATCCGAACGCCAGATTTGTAATCACAACATAACCGTTGGGTGGTTAGTTCATCCGATAACAGAAAAATCAAAGGTCCCTCCCAAGTACACACTGTGTATGCACCGGCCGTCGGTTTGATATAAATATACGTCCCATCCGGTAAGTTAAATCAGTATTGTTCGAGACACCGTCAGCAGTGATACAGATAATATTACAGTTCACTGTAAATTCTCATCGATATTATATTATATTTTAATAATTCATCCATTCGCCGTCGACAACTACCCACAACAAACAATATGGTTGCCTGCAAAGTGATTTTGGCCGTCGCCGTCGTAGCCGTAGCTGTCGTTCAAGTAAGCATAATATTATAATATTCTAATAATATAATAATATCATTGAAAATACTATACCTACAACAGGACAATAGCTATAACATGCGATAGGCGCATTGTTGTTGTTTCGTTTTTTCCTTTTAAACAATTTCTGCGTGAGTTATACAAGTTCTGTTGTATATACGACGTCAGAGATAATTATTCATATTATTATATTATACAACATGTGTGATAAAAAATCCAAACGAAATTCAAAATAACCAATTATTGTGTCGATTCAGGGAAGACCCGGTGCCGAAACCGACTGGTCTGCACCGTTCTTCGATGAATTCAAGTCCATGGCAAGTAACATAACCAATTTTGTCAACCTCGACAACACTGCCGAATACACCACAGCTGCCAAGAACAACCTGATCGCTTTCACCGAAAGTCTCAAATCCGAAGCTGCAGCCTTCAGTAAATCGGTATGGTGAAACTCAAAATATTTTATTCGAATGTTTAATATTATGTCTTTTACGTTATAATACGTCACTGACATTTTCAAAGCTTATGTTCTTAACTTAAATTTTTTTTTCGGGCAGTTTGAAGGAAAATCCAGCGTGTCCGATCTGTTCAAGGAATCCACCAAGCAGTTCCAAACAGTCGTCGACACGTACGCCAAGAACTTGCCCAAGGACCTCACCATGAAGGACTTCACCGAGAAGAGCGAACAGGCACTTAAGCACATGGTAGAACATGGCAATGAAATCTACAAGAAAGCCCAAGGAAACGCCGAGATTGAGAAGCAAATCAAGGAGTTCATTAAGAAAAACATCGATAATCTCATGGAACAAACCAAATCCATTCAAGTAAATAAAATATATATATTTACAGCATACATATTATTATACATACAAATAAGATATTGTTTTTATTTGATCAATAAGTAATAACCGTTTTATTTTTATGATTTTAGGCTAAACTCGCCGAAGTCAAGAAAGCCTAAGATGAACAAGTCTGAGGGACTGACACACGTTGTACCAACTATGTCAACCGAACGTGATAACTGACAGTTAATTTATTGCTTTTTAATTTTATAATATTGTAATTTATTTTACCTTTACAAAATCAAATATTAAATTTTACAGCTTTTATACTTTATTGGAGCTTTGTTATTATTTTCTCGACTGAAATATCGCCTATAAATAAACGATGAATCTGTTTCTGTGTAAAAGTAATAACGATAATGGTATCCCCCAACCTATATTATAACTTTGGGGGAAAAATAAAAAAATACAATAATAACATTTATTATTTCTCCTCTTGGACTCAAACATTATTTTAATTTTGAATTAAAAGTGTACGTAGTCCAAGTCAAGTCAAGTCGTAAGGTACTTAAACACACCAATCGTTCTGAATCGTTCGCCATATTATACATTATACAACTTAAGAAAATAATATTTAAATAAATTGAGATATAGGTATTTTTCAGCAATACTTCTAAATATGTACGTCACAAACATTGAATATATTAACGATAAGAGGGCAGTTAAAATAATGGTTATAACTTATAAGTGAAAACATAGTGTGAATCATTATTGATACAGTTTATACAATTATTATTTCGAAAATGTGTTTATTGTGGAGTATGTTATAACAATAATATGTATAATAAGTGCAGTCAAGTGGTGGCTAAACGTGTAAGAAAAAACCCGTTTAAATATATTTATAAATATTATCGTAACAATATTATAACGTCCGAACAAAATGCAAATCAGAGCTTATATTTTATATTGCGGCCACCAAAACCACTTATTATTTTTTGCGTAGATTTTCGTAATTTTACCGAAGTATTATAATGAATTTTTTGTTGCTTAAATTTTTGCTCTTTCGTAAAAGCAGTTTTGGACCCATTTTTTATAAACATAAATGTGATCTGAAACGTCAGAAAAAAATAATATTCGCATATAATATTATAATATAATAATATAATACAATAACGATTCCTGACAAATTACCTTTTTTTCTCCAAGACGTATTATAATATTATACAATTTTATACGGTTTAATGAAAAATAATAGACATTAAAACCCACTTAGGATCGAAAGACGCGAAAAAAATTATAGTTAAATATAATATTTTAGGTTAAAGGGCGAAATTCAAAATAACATAAGTCTATATTATATTATACGCTTTGACAAAATAAATGTTCGGGTTTCCTTACCTAAATTCTGACTAATGTCATATATTCCGACTTACGAGTATAATAATTTTACTATGCATTTATGACTGCAACTAGCTTATTGTACGATTTTGTCTGTCGATTTCGTCTTTGTGTGTGATGTAATTTCAATGACACGAGTCCCAATCTCAAACTAAAAGCGCTATTCGATGTTTTTTTCTACAAAGTGAAATCTTTAAATCATTTATATGTTTTGGTTAATAAGTAACCATGACAACGAAAATGTCACGAAAAATGGGTCAGAAACAAAAACTCAGCCCAAAAACATAATATGTATGTTTAAAAAAATATATCTCATAATATAGTTCGTAATCGTTTCGTGCTCACGTCTTTATGTTTCAGACCAAATTCAGAAAGCGGCGAGAAAGACAATATTATAATATTGTACTGTAAAATTTGTGCTTTATTTCAGATAAGAAATAAAAAAAAACCGTAGGTACGTAATTAAAATCACGTCAAGTCGACCACCTGCGTCCTGCACTCTAATATTCGATAAACATAATATTATTATCGATGTTAACTCGCTATATACGCGTACACAAGTTATATAGGTGCGTTATTAGTGAGTATAATAAAATATACTAAGATACATAGTTTACATTGTCTCATACACATTACTTTATGCTGGTTCAACGAATTATAATATTTTAATGTGTTCTATTAGGTTCGTTGACGTGTTAAGGTTGTTAAAGACGGTAATCAATATAAAACTCTTATCAACACGTCGATACATGAACTCACGATGGTTTTAGATCGAAGAGAACGAAACGTTTTTTATTTAATCGGATCAATTTCTTTTTAATCGATAAACGTTTTTTTCTATATACTGCGGAAGCGGATGCAGTGCGTTTTGCGAACGATTCATTTAATTTAAAACTATGAAGACGGTTTTATTTTTCATATGGTTCATGTGTTTTTTTTATACATAATTTGTTATTTTTTTTGTTCAGATACAAAAAGTGTTTGACTAGCAGTAGTATATTATTTATTATTAGTACTGTTGAACAGGCAAAATTCTTAATTAATTGTTAACACAAGGCGTAGGTACCTTATGAAATCGTTGGTGGTACGAAGTTACGTAGTATTATGTGTATAATTTTATTTAAATAAATAATATTATATATAGTAAATAATAATATAAGTATATAAATATAATAAATAATAATATATATAATATCTATTGTACACAAAGTCGTCGTGGTGCTGACGGGAGACTAACTCGAGTTTCTAGGGGGTACGACTTTTAAAACTTTTCCTCTCTTTTGGATTCTGAGTGAAGTGGAGGTGAATTTATTGGCTTTTCCATTGATGTGTGCTGTTTGAACAGTTCATCGGAAAACATTATTTTCTCCGTGGTAGGTAAAAAGCAAAGCAGCTGCAGTAACCAGTAAACCGCGATAATACTTATATAATATAGTTTATGCTGGGCATCCTCTGAACATGCTCAATGCCATTTTTTTTTTTAAATTTGTGTAATTTTTAAATATACACTCTTAAAGGCTATATTTTCAATAATATAGATTTTTTTATACAACTTAAGAAAAGTACTGTGGCGATGAAAACTAATCAAATGAGAACCAACCTTTTTATTGTAAAATATACACTGTAGAGCAGATGATTTAAAGAATGTGATGTATATACACAAAATTCAAACTAGTAGTTTCTGAGTTATTAAAATGTTAAATATACCAAGTAAAATTATATTCGTTAGAAATGGTTTTACAAAAATATAAAATAATTATGTAATACATATAATTATTATGATTACATAATACATAATAATCTAATATCTAATCAATTATAATATCTAGTATTAATTATTATATTTTATTATACTCAGGTAGGTAATATTTACTAGAGATAAAATATTGATAAACTAATTATATTAATAGCTATATTATTTAAATCATTAATATTATAAGCCCCCATAGATATAATATAATATTAAATATATTAAACTTAGTACACAAATAATTTGTTAGAATTATTATTAGAATAATTTAAAAAAAAACTGATAAAATTTAGAATTAGAGGTATTGAATTTTTCAAAACAGTCGTCACTATAGAACGGAACATATCTTATGTTTTGTAAGAATGACAAGAATAAGAATTTAAATTGGTTAGATTATGAGATTAGATTACTAGATTACAATTTGTAGGATTAAAAAATATGGACAGTGGTCGTGGTTATCATCTTGTGTATGTAAAACATAAGAAAAACACGCGATTCGAATAAATATGAGCAAAAAACGCACGACGGGGTAAAAAGCTACCTTCGCAATATTATTATATAGGTAGGTATAGGTATTTTAATCATCTTTATCCGACAAAAATGACTTCGACATTGTTCAATCGTCGTCTTACGCATTTCATATTTTGATCGATAACGCTGTTTAATTTATACCAATCATTGTAATAATATTATCATCCTTCAGTCGACGACGATGATGACAATCCAATATTGGTCACCACAAAATAACTATTAATTTTAATTCGTATGAAGGTTAGTGAACGATATTAATGAGGTATACGGAAACGAAACGTTGCAACATTCTTATATAATAATTTATCATAATCTATATAATTTTCTTTCGAATAATATTGCAATTAATTATTTGTAATTATTATAATATTATTGCATCTCGTACGGAACATAATATTAATAAAGGGGGACGAGGTGGCCGAGCGGTCTAACGCGTCGACTGCGGCGCTGGCAGTCGCGGGTTCGACTCTCGGCCACTGGGCGGCATTTTTCTCCGGGCAAGTCACGGTGTCCGGAGTACAAATGCCGCCATCCCCACCCCGGGGCATGGTAGAAACCTACGGGTGCCCCAATAAAAATTCTGCCACCACAAACACACTCGTGGACCAACCTACCCAATCTAAAAACCTACAGTTCCCTCCACACACCCAATGGCCCATGTTGCCGCGGGTTATCCAATAAAAAAAAAAAAAAAAAATATTAATAAATTACGTGAATTAATAAAATACAATATTTTTGTTTTTGTACAGAAAAACTGATATTTAATTAAGTAGCACAAATTCCCACATAGATGACTTAGAAATATCTAACAGGGTAGAACATTTTATTTCTATGCATAAATAAATAATAATATACAGTTAAAATTAAGTTTGTCACTATTTTTGAGAACGATTATTCATTGTACATTCATACGAGCGTATTACACGTTTTAAACGTATGAAATTTGGCCGCATAAGATTAGTATCAACAACAACTAAGAAAAATGTATTCATTGAGGGTCGATTAAGCATCAAACAGCTTATACTTACCAACAGTGGTGTATCAACGAAAAATGCAAAAAAAGAAAGTAGTTAAATGTTTTATCGCAGTATTATTATATCTCTTACTCTTTTTCACGCACAGCTTCAAATATTATTCACTGTGGCTTCGTATTTCATTTTACTAGATTTTTTTTTTTAATAGGTATAAATATGAAATACAATAATAAGTACTCGTCCAATATGCTATCTACCGCACGTTTGATGGTTTAGTATGCTATCTACCGTAAATATGTTATCTACCGTAATTTTATGTTGGTGAAGTATGATATCAACACTCATTTACTATCTACAAATGTAAATTGTCTTACCTTTATAATGCAGTATTTCTACTTTGTCACTTGTATACACTGTACTGTGTAGTTTGTAGTTATGTATACGTATTTCTGATCGCTCCGAGGAATGATTCGAACAGGTCTTCAGTTGGTTTTTGTAACGAGCTCCACCTCTCTTCTTGAAGTTG